CACAGCTGGCCTTCCAGGTCGTCCCAGAGGGGCTGGAGGGGGTGGAGGCCAGTCAAGTTCTTTCACATCAAACTGGGAGAATCTGTCACGCTTTAGATGATGTCCCACGATGTACAGTCGAGTGTAATTATGATTCATTTACAGAGTACTATTATACCGTCTTGTATCACATTTTAATTTTGATTGTGTGCAAAGACCCTCACGAGAGTTATTCAGTGACTGACTGTTGTCCTTTCCTGTTCATGACATGTTGATACAACAGGAAGTCTTGTTGTTACTGTTCTCCATAACAACAGTGAACAGCACTCTGTGTAACAGCAGGTTAGTCCACATAAACCTGTCCCACCTCAGGCTTCTCAAGTTCCCCAGAAGTACATGTTGTTCCCCGAACACATAGGTCATGTAAGGAACACACTGTAGGTCTATTTGTTCCAGAATAAAAACACAAAGTATCGCAGTTATTTAGTTTGCACTCCAGACCTAAAATAAAGGAACTATGTAGGTTACCTTATTTCCTCTGTTTCTTGTCGTCTGTCCCTCCAGTGTTGGTGAGCGTAAAGTACAGTATAGTAGTAGTGTTACCACAAACATTGTTGCTCAGTTGTGATCCAACAGTATCCTATAATATCAGAATGGGTTGTTATGGTAACCACTTATTTGAGAATGTCACGCTATTCAACTATTCTGGCCATGCAGTGCACTAATGACATACACATCGTCCACATTGATGTACGTCTTTGTTCTCAACTTTTTTTTCGACTTTTTGAGTTTTATTTGGTTGTTTCTAAGAATGATTTCCCTGCAGCCGTCCCGCACGCACTTCCAAAGAGCAGATGTCCTCTCAGTCTGACTGATCTGGCTGCAGCTGAATATGAAAGCAGTTTGGTGATGCAGGTAAGAAGTAACAACACTGTACAGTAAACATGCTGCTGAGCCACGGCCTGGGGAAGAGAAAGTAACACGTCTCACGTTATCATCTTTTCCCTTCCTGTTGTTTGGCTTGTTGAATGATAACACAGAGACAGCTGAGAGGGTGTTCAGATAGGACCTGTCTGCTGATGGTGTCCATGTCTCACATGCATGGTGGGCTTGGTGGGTCTGCAGCTTTATCAGCATCCTGGTTTACTGATTTCATTTTTTAGGAAAATGTGTCTCAGTGCAGGTCAGTGTGCAAGGATTTGCAATTGTAAAAGGGCCCTCAATCCAAACCTCCAGGTCCATTTGTACGTACCACTGACCTACTGATGTTCTCAGCAGGGTTCTCTTGAACAGCTGCTTTACAAACCTGAAGTGTTTGAAAGATGTAGATTCATATGATAGTGGATGATGTCAGAGCCGTCCTCTGGTGTTGATTACAAATTATAATCTCACAATTTGCTCATGTATTTAGATGATATAAATATTTTCTTTTGACTTGTGAATTGATGTCAAATGAATATTCTGAGCAGTTATTTTTGGATCTAGTGTGATGAATCAGATAATAATGATAATAAAGGATGGACTGAGGCTCAGTGTTTGTCTCTGATCTCACGCTAGACTTTCTAGTTTTGTCGGTGTTGTTGAACGTGACAATAAATCAGCGAAATGAGAAGCAATGTGCAATATGCAATATCTTTCAAGCCATTTGAATAAAAAAAGACTTAAAATCTGTCCATCGTTTGAGACACCTCAACACAACACACCTCAACACACCACAACACAACACAACACACCACAACACAACACAACACACCTCAACACACCACACCACACCTCAACACAACACACCACACCTCAACACACCTCAACACAACACACCTCAACACAACACACCACACCTCAACACACCTCAACACAACACAACACAACACAACACACCTCAAGACACAACACACCTCAACACAACACACCACACCTCAACACAATACACCACACCTCAACACACCACAACACAACACACCTCAACACAACACAACACAACTCAACACACACATTAGATTAGATTTTTTTAGTGAATAACATGTAGTAGTAGTAGTAGTAGCAGTAGTGGAAGCTATAGTGGTACTAGTAGTGGTAGTTGTAGTATTAGTAGTATTAGTAGTAGTAGTGGCAGTAGTAGTACTATTAGTAGTAGTAGTAGTAGAAAACAAACAAACTGCATGAACATGACTTCTGACATAAAAGTGCAGAACATGACAGCAGGGACACCTATGAGGACAAACTTCATATGACTGAAGAGAAACAGTGACAGCAGCTCCTCAGCCATCGAGGCTCCTCTCTACTGCCCTCTTCTGTCTAGTGGTCGGGAAAAAAACTATGAACCATTGATCCATGTGTAAAAAAAAAAAGTAACAGTACAGACGTATATAAATCTTGTCTTTGTTACAAATCCAGACAGCCAGCTAAGAATGAATGCTAGCCTTAGAAGAGCTGGTTCAGTGGGAGGAGCTGAGTGGCTGTGGGGCCGGGACTGCTGTGGCTATTCTGTTTTGAGCAGAGGTTCAATGAGAGCACCTGAGGACTGAGCATGATTTATTCATATCAGTCCAACAGAGAGCCAAGTCTTTTTAAATGACAAGAGCATCATTCATGATATTTGTAGTGCCACCATGTTGGCTGCTGAGTAAACTCCTGGCACCACCCTGTCATCTTGTTTACAGGAGGGCCGGGGCCAGGAGAGGTCAGGAGGGGTCAGGTATTTCCAAGAAAATCTCTGTAGCCTCTGGTCTTTTCGGATTCTGGATCATTTAGGATCTAAAATATTACAGCTGATGTTTCAGCTCAGAGATCAATTTCTGATCAGTAATGTTTCCGTACATACAAGGAACCAGTGGCGCAGTTTACATGCTACTGATCAGCAAATCCATTTCTAAAGCCGTGCAAATGCGCACACATTTTAGCTTAGCCTAGCGTAGCCTTGGATAAACATTCATCCTGTCATGTCATCAGGGTTAAGGCGTCTTTGAACGTAGTGCTGCCTCTCTGAAGGAGCAGTGTCCGACAAATGAAACAATGACGACAGGCTCTGTAGAAGTAGTCATAACAAAGATCTCGTCTTTACATCAGCTCGGGCATGGACACTGCATAGTCTTGCAACATAATAAACTGGAGGGGTGGAGTTTAAAAGTCGTGGGCGAGAGACTGTCCTCGGCCGAAAGGACGACATCGTCAGTGCTTTGTTCATGTCTGTTTATTTGTATATCATTATCTCCACCTGTAGATTATGTATTTGGTCGTGTATGTGTGTGTGCGTGCATCTCTGTGTCTGTCCGCCTGTCCTCGGTTAATCTTGCATACTACTGGATATTTTTTGTGCTTATGAAACAGAATATTCTCAAGAAACTTATGTGGTTGCAGTGATTCACACTTTTTGACCTCTGACTCACTACTCTTAACCGAGGCGGCAGTTTGGACTCTTGTGTCCACTATAGTGGTAGAGCGGGTCGTCCTTCAATCAGAGGATCGGCGGTTCGATCCCCAGCTCCGCTAGTCCATGTCAATGTGTCCTTGGGCAAGACTCTTAACCCCAAACTGCTCCTGTAGGCTGTTCCGAGGTGTGTGAGTGGTTGTGAATGGTTAGATAGAGTCCTGATGGGCATGTGGCCACTTGCATGGTAGCCCCTTCCATCAGTGTATGAATGGGTGAATGATGACATGTAGTGTTAAAGTGCTTTGAGTGATCGGAAGACTAGAAAAGAGATAAAGTGCAGTCCATTTACCATTTACGTCCACTTCTGATATACAGTCTATGGTTACACACTGAACTGCAGTTCAGCTGCACAGAGCTGGGGGGGGGGATTGTGGTTTGTATTTATGCAATCAAACATTACAGCAGTGGTCGGTGTAGACACACCTGGCAGGGGTCTGCACTCTAATGAATGCACTTTTCTGATTGTAATGGTCTTACAAGGTACTGATCAACCCCCCCCTCCATTACGAAATCTATCTTGGTGACAACTGATGAAAGTCATGAGATGAAGTTGATGAAGAAAGCTAGTCAGTGGACCCTTGAGTGACCCTTACAAGTCTCTTGTAAAGTGTGTGTGGTTCATTGTGGAAGGTGATGACAAACACATTTGGTGGTTTAGTTTGTAGGATTTGTTGCCAGCAGGGAGGGTCTAATAAGAGACGTGTTGCATTATGGGAATGTGCTTTTTGAGATTGAGTCAGTATATACCACCCTGGCCTGTGCTGCTTCATTTTTTTTACTTGTCTCTTTAAGCCCCCCCAACCTCAGTGAAGTGCTCAACAGGTCTGCCGTTATGTTACCGTGCTGCATTACACATCACATTACTGACTGACTGCCTGCCAAAGCTCTGAGCAGGAAGCAGCCTCTTATGTTTCTCATACCAAGCAGGAGCCTTGTTATCAGCTTCCTTCCCCCATCTGTCATCATCCCTTCATCTCTCCCTCTACCCAAGAAAGTGACAGATTGATGAGTCCAGGACTTCAGCTTCCATGTGTCTCAAAGAAGAGGACAGTCATGAACCGGAGTTATCAGAAGAACTTGATTTACTACCATATTATACAGTCATTATGTACACAACAACCTCTAAAACAATATACCTTCATTATACATTCTGATAAATACACAAGCTCTGCCTTACTACTAGGCTGCAATATACAGATCTTCACTGGCCACTGTACAAATGCAAATGTTGCAAATAATGCAACTAAAATTATGAAAACGTCTCCTCCAGTGGTTGTCAGCCTCACACTGTGGCTGACAGCTGTGCATTGTAACCAAAGTCCTGCTGTCAGTGGTGCCTATGCTTTAGATCCGGCATGACTCTGCCACGTCTGCAATCTAAGCTCCTCTGGTGACACTCGTCCTGTGTGGACAGACCACGGAGCTAAATCGTGCATGTCCGATACATTTGAGATGATTTGGTGCAGCGCTGAGGGCTGATGTCTTCTCTCTTAGCCTCCGCTCCACTCATAACGAGGGATTCTTTCTGAAAAGCTGAGAAATGTTGGTGGTGTTTTCTGTCAATAGACCGACATGGACTGACATCAATCTACTGCTGATGATGTCATTTTAATCAAGAGAAAAGTATTATGGCAATGTATGACACGCTGGAAGAGTTACATGGGAACTGCAGTCCTACTGGTTTCAGTTCTGTCTGAATTGGTGACACCTGTGGTTACTGGTGTATTTTAATAATATGAGTCAACAGAACAACCAAAGTTCAGTTTGAATGTTTACAGCAAGTCGTATTAATAAAGAAGACTATAGAAGTAATGGCCAACAAACTGCACTCTAATGATCCACTGTTGTCTTCTACATTATGTCAAATGAGCACATGCACTTGCTTCTGTCGTTCGCATCACATCCACGACATCATTTCCTGTGAAGTCCTCTGCATGTGGGGTAACCTGAGCCCTGTGAGCGAAAGGCCGACCAGTAACAACGATAACTAAAACCCAGAGCACAGACCAGTTTCTGTTCTTCTGAGGTACAGATGCTCGCAACACGCTGTGGTGTCTGAAGCAAGTTTCATGTAAAAAAAATAAAGTATGCTTCGATGGCAAAGCTGGAAACCACTGGTCTGTTGCATAATGTTAAACAGAAGACAGATGTTGTGTGGGAACAATGGAAGCTTTGGCTGTCATGCAGGTTCATGTGGCACAGATAAAGAGAGGAACACTGTGTTCTGAGTCAGTGTCACTGCCATCCACCCATCTACACCCTCAGCTGCTTCCTAGCTCCAGCACCAGTCCATTTAAAGAGAGTCAATACTGGTCTCTGAAGAATGTCCCCATCCATAAAGTTGCTGTTTGGAATAGTTAAATGAAGGGACACTGAAATAGACAGACAAAATAAACAATGGATTGCAGCAGCTGGAGTCAGACACAAACATCTTGAGCTGAATTCCAGTCAAACAGTGTCAACATGGAAATGCAGCAGACATTAGAACCTCTGTGCAGAAGTGAAGTTTTGTTCTGGCGACCTTGATCTGTGGCTGTCCATGTCTGCTGTGGGATTACAGATCTTTCAGGTCTTGGCTTATTATTGGTAACGAGGTATGTAGTGAGGGGACATAACTGCTGTGCACAGCTGGAGGCTCAGTCCTCCTCCCCCTCCTACGTTGCCCTGATGTCAGCATTCGGCGGCCCCCTGCTCTGAACACTGGCAGTCTGTCGCTGTGTATTCCCCTCGGCTCCCCCCGTACAGAGCTGCGAGTCTGCACCTCGCCGACGCAGCACAACAGCTACCTTCTTTTCCTCATGCTGGTCTCCAAACGGCCAAGCTCCTCGTAAGACTGGTAGAAGACTTCCAGCTCGCGGCAGCCCCAGCCCCTCCAGACACACAGGCACCATTCCATGTTTTCCTTATGAAAGCCACATACAACTGTGTCCTTTGCCACTAGTGCGGCCTCCTCCAGGATCCTGAGAGGAGGACAGAGAAGAGGGAAGAGGAGTGAGGGACGCAAGACAGAGATCAATCTACGAGAGAGGGATGCAATGCGGGGAGGGAGCTGAAGTTGGCGGCACATCTCTGTGCACTGTAATTAGCTCTTCCTAGAAGCTAGCAGGCAGTTCTAGGAAGCAGTTCCCTGGAAAGCCACTGAGGATACTGACCGTACTGTTAGCGCTGAAGTTGATATTTGTCTTAGTGCTGGTAAAGAACTAAATAAATCCTGCACTAAAATGTCTACTCCACTTTCTCCTGGAAAAAAAAACTGTAAAATGGATCCAAGAAGAATGTTCAAACTCTCTCTAATTTATGAAGGATGTGACACAAAGCATTCTGGGAGGCAGAAGAGCTTCTGGGTGTGTCATGTATCATACAGAACAACCATGAATTATCTTCCTCCATTGTTGTTTCATCTTCCTGAGGTGTATCATTATCCTCTCCTGATGTTCTGTGATATACAGCCTCCAGGTTCCAGGAACAGGTGAGGCTCTGTGAAGCCACTGACATACACAATCACTAATACCTCTGGAACTGTCCAATCAGAGGGCAGGCAGCATTATGCTCCTAATGGAACAACACAACAGCAGCTATGTGATAGAAATGAACCTGACCACCCCTCCCTTGACCTGAGCCATAGCCCCCCAATGTGTCGCCTATGCTACAGGTGCACCATGTAATAGCTGCTCATAAAGGGCCCTGTTTTGGGTGGCCTTTTTATTGCCTGTTGCTAAAAGGCCCTCTGTGGAAGCTCACACAGAAGTCCTTTCTGCAGAGGACCAGCTGCTGCCTTCTTTACAGAAATAATTACAGACTCAGCTGAGCACCATAAGTACATGATGAAGGATCCTGCTAAGCTTCATTGAAGCTGCATCAGTCAATTCATATACAGCTCTGTGGCCCGTGGTGCAAAACTAGTTTAGAACTGACAAAGACTCTTTCATGGTAGTAAGTACAGAAATAAGATGAAGCCTATTGAAGAGCAAATCAAAGTTCTTATATCATAACTAGATTTATTTTTGATTTGAAATCTGTCATATAGCTATATATATATATATATATTATATTCTAAACGTAATAAATAGTTCAAACCAATAATGAGATGACCTGTTCTGTGTGTTTTCTTTGCATTGCAGGCTGTAGCTGCTCACAGATCACACTTTGAACTTCACACATTACATTTCAGATGGATTTCAGACATGCTGACATTGTGTGATTTTTTTCTGGGGACCCACTTTTAAAAAGGAGAAAGCATCACGACCCAACTCACAACAGGCCTCATCTATAAATCATGAGAGGCAATCTGTGAGTAAATGATCCTTCTTGACCATTTCCACATCACCTTATTTCATCTGAAACAGGTAAAGCAGCCATTTCAAGGGAATACATTTTATAAGTCAAACTTTCTTTTATGAACGTGTAATTGAAACAAATACACGTTTTGCATTAAGTTAACAGGCTCCACATGTTTCTTCTCTGCATTGCTGATGAGGATCACATGTTGCTGGTGTTCTGGTGGAGAGAGGCTGCAGCAAACACTTTCTAGATTGTAGTTTTACTGACATTATATTTTAGGGCAGTATTAACTCAAAGCAACCACTTCTGGTGGAGAGCTGCAGCCTGTTTCTGTTTGAGTCATATCTGTGACGTGTCATCAAGGATCGGCTGGAGCCAACATGAACACGGTGATGCCGTCTACTACACAGAGCTGAGCCTACCAACAGTCCTGCTTTATTATCAGCACATCTTTAAGGTCCAATTAGTGTGAACTGATTGAATACTACCATCCCTCACATTATGGTATCATTTGGCAAGAATGTGCTGCAAAAATAAACCAGTGTCAAAACAAACAAACGTTTGCACAGCTTTGAATCCCACATCATGTTTGGTGGAGACTTGAAAGCTCTTAACTCTTAACAGGAAGTGAGCTCACCCCAAAGAGGAACATCCAGGCGGACTGAAGACAGCAGTGACACGCCCCCTCAGCTGATCACCGTGTGACTGCATTTCAATGACCATGACATCACCTCCACGCCTGCCAAACAACCACACACACATGTTTACAGTGAATATAGTGAAGTGGTTAGTGATACCTGATTCAAATGTTGTTAAATAGAGAACGAGAGCAATTAAGTCAGTCAATACAGTAAAGTCTAAATAAAGTTCAGTTCTTTTAAAATGCAATGTTTACAAATACAAATTCACTTCATATCAGCCGGTGTCTTCGTGCGTTGCTGTGTTTTGTACCTGGGGATCCACAGAGTTCCATTCACTGGCAGCACAGTGAAGGCGTGCAGCTGAGGCGGTGTGGGGTTCACGGTCTCTGCAGTGTCTAGATCAGATGCCTGCTGGTCCTGGTTCCTGCCAGACTCCTCCAGGTCTGCAGGTGGTGGCATCCTGCTGCAGATGTTTAATGAGGCGACGCCTGCGGTGCTGGAACAGTCCGACCCACCCAGCGGCTCCAGGGAGGCGTTGGGTGATATGGAGCAGTAGTCTGTCTGTGAGTCCTGGTGCTGGATGATCTGAGTCCCTGCCTCCTCACTGTAGATCAATGTCACTTCTCCATTAGTCCAGTCCAGCTTCTCTTCTTGGTCTGTGGTCTTGAGTTCAGTGGTTGTCGCCATGGTAACTCCGGCAGGACGCTGCACAGCGAAGACATCCCGGAGAGGACTGTTGTCTCCGCAGCTGAAACAGGACAGCATTTTAAAACAGCCACTCAAGTCAAAACAGTTCTGTTCCAACTCAGGCAGGAGCAGCTGCTCCACTGGACAAGCAGAGATGAAGATTACATGCGTCACGTCATTGAAGTCATTGTGTTACTTTCAGATTAGCATCAGCTAGCCAACCGGAAGTAACAGAGGTGCAATCTCGCTTCAAATATTCATGCATGAAGGAGGTCAGACTGTTCCGTTAACATCACTCCCTGCCAGCTTTTCTAACACCGCTCATCATCGCACACAGCGTCCTAATGAGCCTCAGACCAAACGCAGCTCAGCTCTCCAGGAAGACAAGACTTACGTAGCACAGAAGAGAAACTGGAAGATTCCCTCCGTGGACAGATAGAGTTGAAGATAGAGAAGAAAATGTAAAGTCCATAATATGCTAACATATATATATATATATATATATATATATA